TATAACTTGCTTGATATAATTCTTTGTTGAGGTACCAAGTGGCTTCCATTTGGAATATACTTTTTTGGTGACGATCAGATCTCTTATTCTTTCAGTCGTTTKTCTCTCCTTCCTGGGACATTTAGTTGTCTTTGATTCCCTAGTCCTTCCTACACAGAATAAAAATAGTAGGTTTGTAATCTTGTTGGCTGTCAGTTAGATGGGTGGTTATATAGGCATGTAGGAATGTGGGCTGGCATGTAATYAGATTTGTCAGCTGGTTGGCTGTTTAGTTAGGACACTTAGGTGGGTAGGTACAAGCATGTAGGAAGGTGGGTGGGTATGTTATTATGATTTGTAAGCTGGTATGTGGGTAGGCTGCTAGGCAGTATCTATTTAATTAAAAACTATGTACCTGTTTTTTCTTGATTTATTATCTTGATGTTCGCTTTTCTATTTTCAACTGACTTCTATGGATAAAGAATAAAATATTTTTTACTTGACGAAAATTCGTAAAATAACAAATTTTCATATCTACGTTACCTTTATACTCTTGGCTCGTGTTGTTTTTGTTTCTTGCACGTACCGTTTCTTCTTTGGAACTTGCACACTTTCCTCTTGCGACTCATTATCAACAGAAGAGCTGCTTGAATAACGAGATGAAGGAGTATCTTTTTCAGGAGATTCTGCCTTCCGTTTTGAAGCAGTTCTTCCCGTTCTGCGAGCTGTCGTCTGTCTTTTATTCGTCTCGCTTTCCTCAGTAGAAAACCTTTCTTTCCGACTTTTGTTCAAACTTTCCGGTGACTTAGTAACTCTTTTTACTCTTCGGCGTACTTTTGGTGTTATTCTGGTTGTCCTTCTTGGCATTTTTGCGATAGTTTTGACCTGAAATGTTTCGAAAGACGAGACTCTTGAAGTCCGGCTTCTTTCAAAACATGGCGCGAATTTGAACGACAAAWATAACCTGTGAGGGGAGGGGTTAATACTTCTAATGTCACGACCTCGCAGAATATTAAACCAATATTTCAATATCCTTTATATAGCTTTAAAATATTGTTTCTATCATTCTACTTCTCATCTTTTTATTTCTGGAAGATAGTTTTTCTTTATGCGATAGGATTTTTTAAGGACAATTTTATTTCTTATACCTCCCCCCACGGAAGTGATTTCCCATAACTCAATACGGTCGTATGATTCTTTCCCAGGTTTTCACGTGTGCAGTTCTTTCCCTAAGTTCAAGTTGCCAAKAAGAAGTTGATAGAATATTTATTTATTTCTCGTAATTGGGGTAGAAAAAGGTTAACTTAATGAGCTGGATCACAAGAGGAGTAAATGCCCTTAGAGGTTTKGGTGTTTCTACCTTGGGAAACCTTTCGTTTGTGGTAAATTCGGCCGCAAATTTGACTGGTAGTTCACGTTTTCCATTGCTCCAGTCATGTAGGTTTGTGAGATTTGGAATGGAATACCAACCAAAGACATTACAGAGAAAAAGAAAACATGGTTTCTTGGAAAGACTGAGGACCAGGAATGGTAGGAAGGTTCTAGCGAGAAGAAGAGCAAAGGGGAGAAAGTTTTTAGCTCAATGACTGAAGGATGGATTATGACTTATGACCCGGGCTTATGAGAATGATTGGTCTATTAGCCTCTAGATGGGATTTACACTAAGCTAAAGCTTAGTAATCTTGGAAGGTGTAAAATATGAAGCTTAATGAACACACTGATCGAAACATGAATCAGTATTTCGTAAAAGACAGCATGAAGAATGTGAATTTATTTTTGTGGCAAAAACAGCTGGCTCAGTATATATGACGCAGCTACATGTAGTGGAAGAAGAGCCAGATCTGGTGGACCACTGTCTAAATGATCTCGCCTGGTTGATAGGAATAGTCAAAATGGAACCTTGAGTAATGATTCATCAGAGTTGTCATGAGCAAGATAAAGAAAACAGTTGTTTATTAATGGCATCACAGYCATGTTGGTGCTCATTAACAACAAGAGACTCCTAATTAACTTACATCGTAGTATCACCAACATGGCTGTCATGTCTTTGTGATTTAAGCCACTTAGGGAATGCTTGCCAGGCATCACTCCTTAGTAATCTTTCATGAGCAAGATAAAGAACACTCACAGTTCTTAATTCATGGCATCATAGCCATGCTGGTGGGCATTATCAAAAGATTCCATCTTAATACCACCAACATGGCTGCAATCCAAGGACAGATCCAGGGGGTCTGGACCCTTCCTTTACAACTCGTTGTTTTCCCCTTTTTTAAATATACTATACAAAACATCTTTACACTATGATATCATTAAACCCTTTTTATTGAAAGTCATGACTCTTATGTCTCCTCAGTGTATCAAATTCTAGATTTTCCTGGGACTTCATTTGGTGGCTGAATTGAATTTCATCGAAAGTGTTCCAGGACACACAAGTTGCTTTTCATTTCCAAAGATTTTTGATGAATGTTTAGTTCCAAAAATTATCCATACCCCCCTCACGGAGGAATTTTTTTAAGACACYCCCYGAAATTCCAATTTTCTTCCATACAAACTCTGTAATTTTTGTTCTTTCACTGACCCCCCTACTCTTCGGAAATTCAAAATTCCTCTGTGGGGTGGGTACTACACAATATTGTTATTGCATACTACAAATGACACTGATGACATAGGTTTTTCATTCCTGTAATACAAGTGAACACTTTGAATTGTTAGACACAACATCTTATAACAGCCCAAAACAGCAAATGAGGACTCTTCAACTAAATGTTTATGATCTTGTTTTCCTCTTAGGATATTCACAAAGTTGATAAAGAAAGGCAATACTGTTCTTGTCCTTTTAGGAGAGAGTCCTCATTTGTTTTGTATATAGTATGATCTTATAGTGTTCTTTTGCTCTGTATTATCTTACATAGTTAACAATAATTGATGGTTTTCAACCATTCCCAAGAGAATTAATTAACAAAAGACACGGTGGCCATGTTGGAGGATATAACAAAAGAATTCATTTACAATTCTTTTGTTAAGTTCCTCCAACATGGCTACCGTGAAAACCATCAATATAATAGCCTGTGTATCAGCACAGAGGAGAATGAGGTGAAGGAGGAAGAGAAGAAACTCTGTGTCGATATGCAGGCTAACAAAATTTCAAAACAACAAATTTATTATTACTAAGGCAGGAAATGGTCAGTTCTCTGTGGGTGTTCATTTTGTTATGACTGCCAGGGACCAAAGAAGTTATGAACACAACACAATAGACCCTTTTCRAGTTCCATATTACTGCTGTGTTTCTTGATTAGACTCATTTACTCAGGCTTAGCCTCAATTTTGTGAAGAATATTTACGTGTTCCAGTCAAGGTCTGTCAAGTTTCAAAGTGTTTGTATTGTTCATGAAGTTGTGCATTCTTTACCTTATCGTTGGTATTTACGAATATTTAGACATTGATATGAGGCTAAGCCTGAGTAAATGAGTCTGTTATCAAGGAACACAGCAGTAATTTGGAACTCAAAAAGGGTCTATTGTGGTCAGCTTATCAACTCACATCCGACACATGCTAAGTGATGGTTTTTTTAATAACACAGCCAGAATAAAGTAACTGCCTGAGTTGGCAACACAAATGCCTACTGTGATTGTGATGACTGAAATTGGTCAGCATTGATCAGATGAATGAATCTTGTTACCACCTTTGACTGAAGGGCAAATTGCYCTTGTTAAATCATCCATTTATATTTCTTTTGAAAACTAGGTACATATAAAGGTGTCAGATCAACCACCACACAGACAAAGGTTTTGCATAACGAATATATCAACTTTTTACTTCATGTTTATCGAAGCATTATGATAATCTTGGTGTATGTAATCCTGAAAAGGACTGTTTGATGGGATTTACGTTTCGACAACCTTCATGCTATTTACTGTAAATGTAGGTGGTAAAACTCTTAAGATACAAATGTAATTAAGGTACAAATRTATATAATAAATGTTGAATAAACTTTGATATGTTGATTGTGCTTCCAAAATTTGCTCTCTTCCTCATTCTTCAGCTCCAATAGATTAACAAAATACTGAGGCTTATTTGCTGACTTTCCAAAATTTGCTCTTTTCCTCATTCTTCAGCTCCAATAGGTTAACAAAAATCTCATATACATATACAAACTTTACGTTGCTAACACAAACAAAATTCAGAAAATTCAAGGATATATCAAAAAATATTTTWAAAAATCTGGAAAAATAGTAAAAAATAATTTTCAAGCAAGGAAATTCATTGACTGTTTTGCACCTTTTTTCTAAAATTTGTCCAAAGAATGGTTTTCAGTTATGTTTTGGCAGCATTCTAGATTTTTCATTCAATCATCGCCCACTCGTTTATTCATTGGACTGAAATAATTTAATTACACCAGCCGGTCCATACTCCCAGTCACGTGATCACTTTAAACCAATCGCTTAATTATAACAAATATAGGCATGAATAACCATGATTAAAAAATGTGCATATCAATAGATTGTCAAAGATTTTCAAATTAATGTTAGTAACTTCTTTCTTAAAGACGCTTATCGTCAGATACTAACTGTCTTCACCGCCGAGAAGTACAGATTTATTTTGTTCAGGAATTCATTGAAGGGCTCTCGTCGACTTTCATTTGTTTGCTCGCGTCCTAAGTTACTTCTTAAGGAATTACTTTTGAAGTTTTTAAAGTTACGATAAATATTAACATAACGGGAAGACGACGGAGCTTCGAGAAAATATTTAATTGAATTACATAAGATGGAAACGTGAAGTTTGAATTTCTTCAGGTAAGTATCACATTTCTATTTTCTTCAACTCAAGTTAACATCGTTTTTCCTCCAAAAAAATGAACTAAATTTGTCATCAAATTTTTCGTGTTTGTTTTTTTTTCACAGGAAGTTCTCGAAGCTTTAAAATAACTCCTGTTCGTCTGAGTTAAAAGATGAGTGTAAACATTCAAAAGCAAACCAAACTCCCAGCTCATAAGTGGCAGGTATCGTGTGTCGAGTTCAGTCCCGATGGCCTCTTCCTAGCCTCTGGTTCGTGGGATAAGACAGCCATCATCTGGGATTTGAGTACATTGGAACCATCCCAAACTATAAGTTATCACAGACAGCCTGTAACTTGCGTATCGTTTCAGCCAGATTTTTCCATAAATGGTCTCTTTACGACAGGTTCAGCCGATCACACAGTAGCGCTTTGGAATCATTCGAAAGGTAGTATGGTAAAGTCATTCCAGAACCATTCCAACTGGGTCCTTAGTACTTCTTTCTCTCCTGGTGGCTGTCTTCTTGCGTCCACATCATGGGACAAATTGATTTGCGTCGTTGATATCGAGACTGAAAAAACCGTAAGCACCCTTACAGGACATACTACAGGTGTATGGGCATGTTCGTTCAATCCAGAAAAGTCTGCATCGAGCGATACACTGTGTTCTGGGTCAGAAGATGGTGGGCTAAAACTCTGGGATATGAGAAGCAATTCAGTAGTAATGTCACTGGTGGGTGGTCATGAAGATCGAGTCAAAAGTTGTTCGTGGAGTTCCAAGGGAAATTACGTTGGATCCAGTTCCGCCGATGGAAAGGTAACTATAAAAATAAGCCCCCATTTAATCCCCATTTTTTCCCAATAATTCCACCAAGTACAAACATTTCTATGTTTCCATTTCCAATTTTCCTTCTACTCTGATGTAGTGCGCACAGATTTTTAATTACGATTTAAAAAAAATTAGAAACCTAAATTTCTTCTATTTGTTATAGCTTTGAAGTTTCTCACTTGGTAAAATTTCCACGCTTTTTTATTTATTTATCGGTAATTATCAGTGAGTTCTTAAATAAAGTCCCATTCCTTGCCTGCCATTTAATGGGGACAATCTCGACAACAAAGTTTCACAAAGTTTGGCATACGCTACAATTTAGTTGTCTTAAAACTCGTCCCGCAAGTTCCGAGTAACAAAAAAATTGCTTTGAAAAGTTGGATATCAAAAACGTCTTTATAAGAATCTTGAGCCGCGGCACGAGAATTTTTCGTGTTTTGTTTGCCCATACRTTTTTTAGAAATTTTTCAATCGACTGACGCCAAAAACCCAGGCCTTTTGAAGTAAAGTTTTGGACACGCAAAGAAATATGATGCGTTTTACCATCCAATTTTATGGATCAATGCAACAGCGGATTGCATGTTGATGGCGCTGTAATTTATTTTCCAAGTCAATACGTGCTTTTAGGTGTCATTCTGTCAATCTGTCAGACTWTTTGGCATCTTTTATTGTTTCTAAAACTCAGTTTTTTAATCCCGTCAAAATCACCATAATTACTTATTAGCAATAAAGTTATGTTGGTAAATGATTAAATTTGAAGAGAATTATCACAGAGGAAAAATATTTCAGTAATGACGAAACTGTATTATATTCACAGTTCACAGACAAAAGTATACGTACATCAAAAATATTATTTGCGTTTTATTTTCATGACGTCTTGACAATATCATTACGATAATTACTCAAAGATAATATCTTTGTCTTCTACCATAGTTAAACAAAATACCTAATACGACAATATGGTCAATGTTAATCAAAAATGTAACAACGAAAGTCAAGGACTTAATAACTTCTAGGCACAAACCTAAGTGCTTTTTATTGACAATTCATAAACAATATATGCTATGGCTGGTCTCTAAAGAATGAAGACAAAGAGTAATCTATAAATAAGTGTTTTTGACAATAGGCAGTTCTGTTAGGAAGCAATCATGCAAAACTTAAGGGAACATTAAACAGCGATGTCATTCGACCCAAATATATCCCAAATTTTTATTCATTGAACTGTATAAGTGGACCTTAAACATTGTTAGAGCTTTTAAGCAACAATGAACAACCTCTGAAGGGATGAAAGAAATGTATTTTTCAGTAAGGGSGGAGGGGGTTTAAGGGCCGAAATGGAAATTAGGTTGTATAGACAATATACTCTAACCCCAGGGGCRGCGGAAGCTGAAAATCTTTGAGGGGGCACTGAAATATTATATTTAACGCTATGTGATAATGACCGCTGTTTTGTTTGATTGCAGACGCATGCGCCGTAGAACTATGAATGAGTTGACTGAGAACCAATATTTTGTGGGGGGCCCAGGCCCCCCCAAAAAATTTCGTGGGGGGCACCCCTGGTTCCGCCGCCCCTGAACCCTTATGATGTTTCCTACCTAAACTACCACAATAGTAGTTTATTTTAGCATTTCCAATACTCCATTTTACAGTACCGTTCATTGACCACAAATAATAGTTGGCAAGCCAAGGCTGGAGTTGACTTGCATGATATAAATTGCCAATGATGCACAGAAACTCTAGCCTCAACTTGGAGCTATTATTTGTGGTCAATGAATGGAACTGTAAAACGGAGTACTGTATGTATGTCAACATGATATTTGGTCTAATATTATTGTTATGGACTYTTATCAATTATTACCTTAATTTTAAGCTTGCCCTCTGGGAACCAAGAAGCGGCACAGCTCTAACAAAGATTAAAGCATACGATGATTCTGCCAATGTTGTCAAGTTTTATCCTGTCATCGACGACAGCACTGTCCCACTGTTGTTTTCAGTTGGCAGTCATACTTGTAATGTATGGCATCCATTCAGAAAACAAAGCAAGCAGCTTCTGTCTTACAAAGTGAATGAAAATGGTGAAGAGGTAAATTGACTGTCTAGACCCTAAATCAACTGCTTTCCCATTTCAGATAAAGCTGTTTCAAAATAAGGTTGAACGGGCGAGCAGTATTGGATGATTAGTGATTGGCAATACTCCATTTTACAGTTCTGTTTAATGATACAGTTGCCGCACATAATAAAAATTATAATTTTGCTAAGCACGAAACTCTAACCTCGACCTGGACCTCAACCACATTTCACAACAAACTCCAACACCTGGGTTYGAACCATTTACTCTAATAACCTCTGTGTTATTGACAAGAACAACTAAAAAACACCTGTCATTGCAGCTATTCTTGGATCTTGGAATGGCCTATTGCTTATCATCTATCACAGTCTGCAACTCCAACCTTTTTTTGAAATAGCTGTATAATTATGTTATTCTCTTGTGTATGATTTCTTTGTCTACCAGTAAGACTATCAAGAGATACAATTAGGCATTAGGTACCAGGGAATGATCATTTGATTGCTGGTAGTTTACTGCCAATTGATCAGCATGTTAAAAATTTTGTCTCAATCAGAGCATAGCAATGAAAAAAGTGTTTTTCCTTATCCCAAAAGCCTAAAGCAATCACTGATTACAATCTATATAATTTCAGGTCCAAGCTCTTGGCATTTCTCCTGATGGAACATTACTAGCAACCAGTGGAAATGAAATGGACGTAGTTCTTTCAACCGTCAGCATTTCCTTGCAAGAAATTGACGCCCTCCCTATCGACACGGGAGAAAAGAACATTAACCGCGGCACCCTTCTATGGAAAAAGTACACCCGCAAAGTCATTGAAAAAACTAACAGTAAGTTCTATCCGTTAAAACTAAGTGTTACTAATCATTAACAAATAAATGCTTAATAGATATTTATCACATAGTAGCAGTATTGCCTGCTGGAAGGGGTTCCAAGGACCATGGTTATGACACTAGCATGTAAAGTCAGCAAATTAAAGTAAATGTACTAGGTAAGTGCATGTGGGAAAACTTCATTTGCAGCTTCTGATCAAGAATATTGTTAGTATACGTAATGGGTGCCTTGCCTCTAACCAATATTATATAAAGCCAAAGATTCTAATTCTAATGATAATATTCTTTGCCCCAATACTCTATTTTACARTTCCACTYAGTGACCACRAATAATAGTTGCAAGTCGAGTAGTGCATAGCAAAACTATACTTTTTACTATGTGCGGCAACTCCAACCTCAACTTGGAACTATTATTTGTGGTCACTGAATGGAACTGTACAATTGAGTGTTGCAACATTTCACTTAAAATATTTTTTCATATAAAAACTGGGCCTTAACAGGTTACATGCATGGTGATTAAAGCTTGCATTGCACTTATGCACTAGTTAATTGTACTGCATGCAATCATAWCACCTACTGAAGTTCTTATTAGCCATTCTGAGGTTGAGGGAAAACTAGGTAAAGTTGGCATTGTAGTGTATTGTGGGACTGTTTAGGGGACATATTTCAAGATGGCATCTATGTTTTCCCCTGAGGCTGCGTTAATAATGTATGGCAGGGGGAGGGGGGGCAGGTGAAATCTTTAAATGACAAAAAAAAATTCCTAAGAYCCCCCCTTGAAATCCCCCCAGGCAATCTCTTGTAGCTTCTTCTTAATTTTGCATCCCCCCCATTGTCTGAAAATTTTTTTCAAAACCCCCATTTTACTATAAAATTTTTTCCAATCCTCCCTAAATTTCACCTGCAACCCCCCCCCTCCCCTGCCATACATTATGAACGCAGCCTAAAACAGTCTTGAGATGCACTGCAATACCAACTTGACCCAGATTTTTCTCAACCTTGCAATGGCTAATATATTCCAGAATTTTTCACTCAGCTTATTTATCCTATATTTAATTCATACATGTACTTGAACATGTTGTTGTGCACATTTTATGCATCATGGCTTTGGCATGTTGTTAATCTAGGTYGACCGACTTTGCTTTACTGTGCATTTTTACATGTCTATGTGCAAATATAATACACATTTCGGAGTACCCAAAATACTTTTCCGTCTTAACTTYGATGATATGACCTTCTCAAACCCGACTACGTTTTTTCAATTAGGTGTATTTACAAGACCAAGGCAAGTGCAGATATATCTTGTCTTTTTGTCACGGGTAGTACTTTATAGCCACCCTTGTCTAATAATGGAATTGGAATGCAGGGAATGCAATTTAATAATGAAATATTGTTACTGATTAACCTTTTAGTTTGCAATTCAGGTTTCAGCACTTCACAAAAAATGTCACTATCATTTTGTAGTCTAACCTGCATCTTAGAACATCCAGTGTCTTTACGAGCCACAGGGCTGCACTTAGTAGCCAACGGCTAGCAATGAAACTATTACGACAATACCTCTCATATTGCAAATACATTCCCTTTTGGAGGATGGTTATATATTTCATGCCTTAAAAATATGGGAAAAATGGGTCTAGCATTGGACAGTTTGGATTCTGAGTAGCGATGCTTCTGGGAAATATTTTTCCAAAATATTTTCCAGAAACAAATTATAATTTCTGTAACTTTTTTGCCTAAAATATTAATTCGTGCTTGTAAATCTTATCAACAGATGGAGAAATCAAAAAAAAGACTTCCATAACAGATCAGTCACAGAATTCAGCACTAATAGTAGGAATGGCCGTACACAAGAATGAAGAAGTAGTGAAAAAACATGTAGAAAAAGCAGGGACGTTACACTACAATGCTGCAGAAAAACTGAAAGCTGAACCCGAGGTGCTGCTTCAGCACCAGAAGCAGAAGTTAAGGCACAGGAAAGATGGCGGAGGTCTATTTGACTTGCAGTATCAAGAGGAACAGAAGGGGCCAACTACTTCTCCCAGTCAACTTGAGGAAGTTMGGCAGCAGTTGCGAAAAGTGAGTAGAACATCTAGTGGTGGCTCCAGTGGCAAAATAGAAATCAGCGAGCAAGAAAGTGTGATTTCAAAAGTGAACGGATGGAAAACTGTAACAGTACAAAATGGCGATCACCAAAATGACTATCCCCCGGCGAAGAATGGCTGGGGTGAAAAGGAAGTAGTAATCCCAGTTGACAGTGACAACGAGAGTAGCAGTCGTCAAAGAAATGGAAGACCTTTTCTACAAAATACCAATGGGTATGGCAGTAATATAAGCTCCACAGTGAGTGACCATCGAGTAAACATACAACAGTCAAACAGATATCAGCCATTTAACATCACAAATGGAAGAGATAAGATGAGCAATGGGAATGACGATCTGGAATCTGTGAGCGCAAGCAGCAGTAGCTATTATGCCGACATAGATGAAGTTGCACAGGAGATGCTGGATTTAACAAGGAGAGTAGAAGACCATCRGCTGTAGTAGAACAATATTCAAAAGAAAAAACACTACCCTKGAAATMGCTCACTTCTGAATTATACTTTTGCTTGCTAARTTAATYAATTTTCTTTTCTTTTCTTGTCAAGAATCAMTGAAAATTATGTGCAAAGTATCACATTGAAATCTTTGTGCATAACGAGCTATTATCATATCTAGGAAGTGAGCTATTGGGCAAYATYATACYCTACTCTATTCATTAATCTTATCTTGGAAGTGGGCTATAGGATAATATTACACTCTACTTTATTGATCCCAGCATTAACTTCCACAAGCATTTTGCTATTAAGTAAACCAATAATTTAATTTAATTTAATAAAGTTTCTAGTAATATTTAAAGCTAAAATAAAGGATTGGTCATTGATTAGTGTGCTTCAATCAACTTTTGGGCGCACGAAAGAGTCACACGAGGCATAGTCATTAGCATAACCATAGCCATAGCACGATCAATAACGTCAGCGTGCACCATTGATTTTTCGATGCCAATTAACCAATCAGATTGGCTTTATACTGTGGCTGTTATAAATCACAGTCTAAAGACAAAGCCTTAGGTCCTTGAGCTAAAACATTAAAATTTCAAAGAAAATGAGAAATGAGGATCATTTTCGCTGCCAAATTATCTTTTTTTTACAAAATTTTCACAGAACTGATTTTCCAATGAAAATCATTAAGAGCATGAATTAAGATTATTCTAAAAAGAAWTGGACATGTTTTGAAACTATCTTCACTTCATTTAATCAATAATAATTAATTACATTAATTACATACGAATATTCAAGGGGGACTAGCACGTAAATCGTCAAAATTTTAATTCAGCTGAAACTTTACTGGAATAACCCTTCAAGGTCTAATAATCACTGGTTAAAGCTTTCCCCTGATATTTGGATGGGAAGTATTATATTTTTGCAAAATTTTATAAGTGTCTGTGATGTCATATGCTCAACACATTTCTTTGTATTTTGTGACCAAAATATCCACTAGTTTTATACTCAGTATTGAAGAAAAGATACCATAAAATGACTCTAACCACAAGTTATGAACATTAAGTCCCTTAGTGGACCTTTGGGCTTAATAGAAATAAAGTAAAACATGAAGTTTTTTACAAAGAAATGTTAATGGAGCAATACACCTAAATCCAAAATGGCACACGGCCGGTTGAAAATGAGCATCCAGGGCCAAATTTATAAATTTACAGTGTTTTCTTATGAATAAGCCT